TTATATTCTCGTTTAAAGATGTTGACTGACAATGTGTCGAGGAATTAAATGCATCCATTTTTTAAAGTCAAGTTTTTATTATGGAATGATGCTATTACTAGTATTGAGTATGCTCGAATACAGAGGTTCTACCATATAAAAATACATTTTAGTATATAGTAATACAAAAGGTAACAGTAAGATATTCATAATACATAAAAATTGTAAAACAAGAAGATTATAGACCAAACAAATTATGAAACAAACAAAAATTTTACTCAATTTCACTGATCACTACATTTATCATTTTTAGTACTACAAATACATTCAAATATATAGTGCAACAAACATCGTACATTTGCTACAATATATTAAAACATCAATGCCAACATTAGCATTTAAGGGTTAAATAAAGCTGAACCTAACCGTTTCTGTGTCTGGTCGTTCCATCATCTTGTTGACATCAGAATCTTCCGTAAAATTTGCACCTGCCCACGTTCCGGATAATCCGGATTCCCGCAAAATCAAATTGACCTCCGTTCATAATAAGATCTGCTGTTTCATCTAACGTTCTTCTGCCATCGAAGGAAATTAGCAGGAAAAAAAAGGGGAAGAAGGCGTAGAAATGTAGAGACGAGAAAGTTTGCGGCTCTGGTATAAAAATCGCGGAACGTGTGCCGTAAAGAAAAATTGACTCACACATTTTACTGAAAAACTCTGGCGCCAAAGTAGGCACTGGAAATTATTCTAACTTCGGCAACGAATTTGGAAATATTGAAATAGTTCTCGGGAGCAACCGAGAATAAAATTTTACTGTAAATTAATGCGATTCGTCTTTTAACGCAACTATTTTATTTTATTATAACTTTATCGTGTATGTTTGGTACACGATAAAATAAACTTCTTTATATTTTTATCGCGTATATCAACGTATATTTCAATAAATTATTATATGTATTATCAACATTATCTACTTCCTATTTTGTTGCGTTGTTATTCATAATTGATAGGAGCGTCGCGTGTAGAGTCCTCTTATCGATCAATAAAAATCCCGACGAATTAGATGAGAAACGATTATAACGCGAATCTTTTTCTACGTATTACGTAGAAACATTTATTCCATTCATCCGTGTGGTTGTTTCGACTGAAAGTGACATTTATATTTGCAAATTAAAAAGAAAAAAAGTCAGAAATGCCAGAGAATACGCTAGAAAATACGCTTGACAAAGATAATCGTTTCATCGAAAATGAAATATTACCCAATTTACAAACACGTTGGAGAGCCACGTTGAAGCAAAAAGAATCTATGGCTAATAATTATCCAAATCGCTTTGGCATGCCAACTATTAATGCGAAATCAAACGCGGGGAAATATTTCGTAGAATTCGCAAGTTCTTCGTCTGTGCATGGTTTGAATCATTTGGTAGCACGAAATAGACATCCCGTTGAAATGTAAGTGCCTTAGATAAGAGATTTACAGTGAGAAAATAATATCATTGCAATAAGATTTGCGAAACATTTCTGTTGCAAGAGTCTTAACTGTGTTCTTCGTTCTTGGTGCTCTATTGTGCCTGATCATTTTGTCGTCACTCTTCTGGGATCGTTACCAGAATAATGCCACAGTCATCGTGGTGGATAACAATCGAGATGAATTCGAAATATTGAAACCAGCGCTATTTATTTGCCCGACAACAAACGTGAACTTAACGGAGATCCCAGGCGTATTCAAAAAGTAAAATCTTTATTCTCATAATCAGACCGCGGATTTTTACGCAACCACTCTCATTTCTGAGAACGTGCAATTTAAAAAAAAAAAAAAAAAAAATAGAGGTTTGAAAAAGAAAGTATAAAAACTAAGTAGAAAGTTTTATTAATATATCAATGTATTACTACATTGAATATTTCATATATTTCTGCACATTATATGCATCGTGTCCAATTTTCCATAAATGCACAGAAATCCACTGTCTACTTATGATAGTATCCAGATAAAATGATAATATTCTTTTGCTAATAATAACACATTAAATACTTAGACACGGTGTCGAGCACACGCCAGAAGCAGAAGAGTTCTTCGTCTTTCTTGGCAATCTCACTTACGAGAACATGATGGATGTACCAATCTTCGATGAAGTTCCAGCAGACAAGTGGCTGGAAATCCTCTACGACTTGAGAAAGTATATTCCTTCGAATATGCTGAAAGAAAACGACCCGTACGAAACTTGGGTGGTGACAGAAAGAGGGGTGTGCTTTGCAACGAGGAACATCTTTGCAGTCTATGCTACTCTGAAGTGAGTATTTTCTTCTAATATCGTCTGTTCCTTGAATCAATATCAATTTGACTCGATCACGACTCTTCTACATGTAACAAGCTACTGGAAGACTGATAATTGGACTATTATTCCTGAACCAGACAAATTGCCATTGTATAATTACAGCATCGATGGTATACAAGAAAATGTCCACGTAGATCACACGGTCCTGGTAAAAATTTGTTTCTATTCTACTTTGAAAATATAAACGTGACATAATATATATGTGTATATTACTTTTTTTTTTTTTACCTCAGACCGCTATATATGATCCTTTTGAATTGATAACATACGACACTGCAATGAAGGAGATGAAACAGAGGACGATACTAGGTGCTATCATGTCGATATCTGAGATCAAGACAAAACAAAACGTCAAAGACCTTAGTGTCCATCAAAGGAAATGCAAATTCTTCAACGATGGCGGATTAAAAACTTGGCCGATTTATACGAGGAACATGTGCGTCATGGAGTGCAGGATGAAAGTGATACAGGATAAATGCAACTGTCGTCCGCATTTTGCCAGACCCATTGGTGGTTGGTGATCGATAATTAAGCTCAATAATATAATAAATCGAATAAATACAAATTTAATATTTTTGTAGAAGATGTAAGCACCTGCAATGCAATGCAGCTTCGTTGCATTGGTGAAATAACGAAGAGGCTTTTCCTGTTTGAAACTCCACCCCCTTCTTGCCAATGTGTCCCAAAATGCAACATCATTTCCTATCACATCAAAAGTAGCGCGAATGCCGAAATGTATCTATCGGAGAGATAATATCAAATCGCATTATAATAAGAGACAAAGAATATACAAAGAAACAAACAAGTTCTTCAAATTGTTTCAGAAAACAGATACCGACAACCTCATCCCATATAACTTTAATCGTTGAGCTACCGCAAATTATCTATTATCGATCGCTGTTGTATAGCTTCACCGACTTTCTAAGTACGTATCCGTGAGTAAATACATAATATCGTACTGCATAATATTAATATTTTGGATGTAAAAGATATTTCTCGAAAAATTAATATAAAGAAGAACTAATAAAAATTTCTGTAAACAAATTCATCGCAGCTGGCGTCGGAGGTGCGGCAGGATTGTTTCTAGGAGCTAGTGTGTTATCCTTCGTTGAAATATTCTATTACAGTACCGTACATCTGTGCTTCTATATGAAACAAATCAAACAGAGACGCAGTAAAAAGGCAATCGGTACATCATGTAACGTCAACTGAGAAAATCTTCACTTTACAAGGAACAGTCATTTAAGATGCACAAACGCAAGGTATTTAAAAAATATTGTTTATTGTAAACGTGTTACCTCTTCCCGACGGGACACGATGTAAAATAAATATCATCACATACACATACAACTGTACACGCAACGAGCCGAAACCGCACAATGATTGTACATCAATTTACAAAGAGAATTAAGAGCGGAATTACTTCTCGTTTTGATTTAACTTTCTCGTATCGATGTTAGGACTAGCTAGAAGGACGCTAAAATGTCACTGAATGGAGTGCCAGGTTCCTTTGCTGCTGCTTCAAAAGTTTCCACGAAAGCAGCCTTTTGGGCGTCCTTGGATAACTGTTGAAATAAAACGAGGTCACTTGACATCACGAAATGACTTTAATATATAAAATTGTATACCTTTCGATAGAAATCCGAGGCAGCGATGCACAATATTTTCTTATCCTCGTAGTCGTATTTTCCAATCCTTGATTGGATATAGGGAAATCTGGGTAGAATGTTAAGGAACATGTTTTGACAAATGACTATATATCAGTGACAAATTATTAGATGTGTGGAAACAGTGGTGGAAGGATACAATGCTCTCAGCCATTGATTCGTAGATGCACTGATAAAGAAACAAGATAAACACCACGTTGACATCGTAATTGGCAAACTCTGAATGAAGTTTGGTAAACTAAATACAACCCAGTCTTGAAGAAGTTCCATTTGGGCACAAGTGCACGCTCTTTCGCACACCTGCAAGAAAAAGAAATTATTCTGAATTACTTTGCATAACTTTTCACTGTAATAAACATGGACATTTTCTAATTTAATTGCAAAAATAATTGCATAGATTTTGTATAGAGTAACAATAAATTAACAATGTATTAGTGTTCAATAAATTCTTCTACACTGTTATACACACAGTGATACAAACTTTAAAAACAACGGCGGAAAGTAACCGCGGATGAGGTTGTTGCGGTGACAAAAATTCTCCTATGACTTTAGTCAGGATTTCCGACGGCGGGAAGAAATCCCCGAGCACACCGGACAAAACTGTACACAGAAGCTCCACTTCCATGGAGTGTCCTCTCCTGATCTTGTCAAAAATCGCCGAAGTGCGCTCTATGGATCGAACTAATGCCTCTGGTTCGACGTCCGGTAATGGTTCTTCCGTTTCTGGTTGGTTTAATCTATCTGCTGCTTCCGTATACATGCAAGTCAACAACAATTGTAACGCTGGCAGCGATAACATAGGGCTGGGTTGTTTTAAGCGATCGATCGCTACTTTCACTATCTGTTCGGCTACTTTTCCAATCACGCTTTTGGTTGCTACGAGTCGCTCGAGCCCCTGTGTCGATTATATAGGCACAATGTTACAAATATACATAATTTAAACATTTAGTGAACCTAGTAGAACCTCGTAAAATAATTGAACCGAATGGGACATACCTGCAAGAGTGTTTGATGCAAGCTACAAGAAATATTTTGCGACGTAAGTAAAGTAAGAACCAATTCCAACACAGCTGGCGCTTCTGCGTCTGGCGGAGTGTCTTCAGCATGTTCCAGTAAAAAAAATACCAGAGCCCACATCACGCCTTGATGATCTTCACTTTGACTTAACACGCTAAGTTGGAGTAAATAATTAATTTCAACGAAACGCGTGTATGGTAAAATAATATGCAAGAAAAGTTCGTGTGACTTACCCATTCAAATCTTGCGCATCCAGATGTTTCTGTATGTACTCTATTGCCAACGGATGTATAATATTCATTGTTTCCTCGCAATTTGCAAGCACAGCGCTTTGCAACAGATACAATGAACCGTGGAGGGCGGATACCTTTGCGGGTAAGAAACTCGATTTAAGATTCGCGTCTACCAGACGCTTAACTTTATCCAACGTTTCAAAGTCCTGAAAGACATAATACAGATAATGAAAAAATAAAATCTTGATAATGTTACAATCTCCAGAAGGATATTTTTGAAGAATATGTACCAACGGTGTCAGCACTGCAGCAGCCTTGCACACAGAGACCACTAAATATTGATGTAGAATAACATTCTCTGCTGGATGAATTCTTGAGAGTTCTAAGCACATATCCAACATCCATTGGTACTGTGTTCTCTCCACAAATAATTCAGAGATTGCCAGAATAGACTTAATAACTTCGGTGAGCAATTGTATAGATGTATTGGCCTGAGGAGACATCCAGCACGTGTAAAGTTCTATTAAGAAACGAAGACAGGAATCCAAATCAAGAGACGCAGACATTAGCGCGTCGTTTCTTCTGTTCTTCAAGTTGAGGACGGAGGCGTTCAACTTGTCCTCGTACAAGTTACACAATGACCATAAATACGATACAGAGAGTTGACTGTACGTATACTTGTTCGAGTTCGCAACCCTTTCCACGTTTCCCCGATGGAAGATGTGATCCATATTCAAATTATCAACTGTCTCCAAGTCGTTCATACACTCATATTTCCACGTGAGCAAGTCTTGAACCGCGTATAATTTTTGAGAGCTAATTTTATGAACTGATAGTTGAGGATCCCTCGGATAATGAATCAGAGCGCTGGCCCTTGGATTACCAGGATAAGGGAGAAGCAAAGTTTGCAATAATAATTTCGTAATTGCCTGTACGGCTAAACTGCTGGCTTGAATCAACGCTGGTATGTCTTCCGTGGACACGTTCTCGTTCTGTGAAAGATTAAGCATTCCCAAAAGGGCCATCCACATTTCTTCAAATTGCAACCGAGAGACCCAACCTAACAGGTTTATCCTGTAAATGAACTGCTCCAAAATTTCCACTTCCTGAAGGAGATTCGACTCGGAGGACAACAACGGGAAGTAACATTTGGTCGGACCAGAACCAACGATGTTCCAGTTTTGCTTCCAAACCAATGGTGGTATTAAGATGTAAGAATTTACCAGCGGTTGACGACTGATACTAACGATTAGATCCTGTACTGTATTGAACAAGTAGCGTGGAATATTTGTGGATAACTGTTTCTTCTGACATTGTTCCAACCAAGCGACAAGACCGGCCATTCGTGTGCAAGCATGAGCAAAGTCTCTGGTAGCCTCGTCTTCCAATGCTGGCTCTAAAGCAATTGTATCTATAACTGGCAAAGCATCCACTGTCGATAATAGATATTCCACTACTCTCTTCAATGAAGCAGCACTGCTACAGACCCACGAATACCTCGTATTTTCTCCAAAAATTTTATTTGGACCAGGATGCTTTAGAATCTCTGATGCACAGCTTAATGCAAGCTCCATGTTCTTTGGTCTCAATTTCTTCATTTTCTCCTCGTCACAATGTACCATCCAGTGTACTAGCTCGAGGCAAAGTGTTGCAAACTTCGCCAGATCTTCCTCAGATTTCTTATCGATTTTCGCTAAATTATACTTAGCTAATTTTGACAATGTTTTCATGTATATCTTCACAGCTGGTATCAGCTGGAAAAGTACATCCCAATATACCGACTCGCTTAAAAGTTCGTCAAGACGATGGGCATATTTCAACTCTTTCGAATTGCCATTCGACCTAGTTGGATTGTAAATTTGATGCGGTTTTGGTATCAAATCGCTGACGTAATGAACGTGCTCCAATAAACATTGTTTCGCAGCACTGTACAAGGGGCTAGTCTCGAAATTAAAATCCTTTTCATTCTGTGCTACGCCGAACTCTAACTTTTGGCACTTCTCCACGCTCATTCGTACACCCAATATTATGCAGGGCTTCAATATCGAGATATTGAACTCTTTGGAAGACAGAATACCAAGGCAATCGTCGAAATTCAATATCCTTAATAACTGCGCTGCTTCCGACAAATTGTGACCAGCGTTGGAATTACAACATCGTAATCTTACTTGGGACAAAAACCAATTACGATCCAGTTGAATACTTTTCACGGTGGATGGATTGAATGGTCTACACTGGTCGAGCTCCAAAGGAGACAAGTCGTAATATTGCACACCTAATTTATTTAACAGACTAACCAATCCACCGTGTTTCTTGGCTAACTTGTTCACTTGCAGAATTTCCATGATCTTGGCAAAGTCCTCTTTTGATAATTGCTTCGTCACATCAGCAACAGGTGTGGTCAGTAAAATCTCTACTCTTCGACTAGCTATTTTCGCCGCCATCCTGGACAGAGCGAGATATTTGGTGGATAATAATCTCGGTATCAATGTCATTAAGACAGCTCCACTTTGAGAATGATGAGCGCCTTCTATACATTCCAGGAGCCGTTTAACGAAACTGGGTTGTGACAAGTCTGTGCATTTAGTCGCGATCGCTTGTACCAACAGTCCACTAGCGGCAGGATTTCTATGTATAGCTGTTGTCAATAGGTCTCTAACAGGAGACTCGATGGCACTACTTACTGTCTCTTCTGTATGATTGACTAACAACCATGTTAAAGGTTCTGCATCGCTCAGATTCTCACAGACGTAATCACAGAATAATATAATGCCACCTTTCCTAATAATTTGAATATTAATGCTGCTGGCATGATCCACGTTCTTCTCTTCACTCGGAGAACAATGCACGACATATTCTGTTCGACGAGTGCCTAATATTTTGGACCAAAAATTCATTTCATTGTACCCTAATAAAGTCATTAAGTAAGCCCACTGGCAAGTTAACACTGGACACTTGTTCCCAATATTTAACATTAAATAATTTAAATCGGAGATCGGCAGCTTTTCGTCTTCGAGAACGTTCCGACCTTGAATCATTTGTATAACAGCGTTTGCTACTTTGCAGTGGCTTCCAGACTCGAACATATGAATGCATAATTGCAGGAAGAATGCAAACTGATGGATTAAATAGGAATTATTTTCCATTGATTCGGAAAATGTAACGTACGGATCGTTGAGTTTATGATCAATCAATCCAAGAAAATTGTAAACCTTACAACCCACTAAATTAATAACTTTAAATATAAATCTAGCCAATATTCTTTCTGGAGGTATTTCGGCTGACTGACTGTCCAAAACATTCAGAGGGTCCGTGGTCCGAGATTTTGGATGGAAAAATGATTGAGACAGTTCAGACATATTTGTACTTAAGTCGGAAAGTCGGGCAAGCATTGCTTCCTCTTTTGAGCATGCTATCAAAGCTAACAAAACAACATTCACCATTCCTAACCATCGTTTCAACCTCAGGTTTGAAGTATCCAGAGAGTCAGGTTTAACAAGAAGTACTTTTAAAAGAGGATCGACTGGTCTAAAAACCGTGGGGGAAATAGCTGCAAATAATTTAACCAAAGCTACGTGTGCTTTCTCCGATTCCACGCGTACTTTTCCTGCTGCTAGCATAGGAAGGACAGAGTCCATTGTTAGTCTGGACCATCTTCTCCATTTCTCTTCTCCATTACCATCTCCGCTGAATCTAGACTCTGTTAAACATAACGCCAGTAGCTCGATGATTTGGTAATATTCCACAAGACGTAAAAGCATCGAAATTAAGACTTCTCTTGTTGTCTCAAGCTCTCTTTGTTCCACTGGGTTTGAACTTGCGTTTCTGATTAAAAATACATCTTCCACTACTGGAGCCAGAGCTGGTATACAATGTGTGAGTGCTGGCTGACCACTTGCCATAAGTCCGTCGCACAGTTGTATTATCTTTGGAATTCCTATTATGGCTTTCGAATGGTTTTTTTCATATGACAAATGAACCAAAAAGTTGAAAATTTTTGGCAATAGATCCTCTGTTTGTTTCACGTGGCCTTCCTCAATAAATTCGAACTGCTTTAATACGAACCCGATGAATATTCTTTCAGAATCTAGCAGACAATAGTTGACTCTTAATTGTACTAGCTGACTAAGCAGCATTAATACTTGACACTGCAATGACACGCTACTTGTTACAGTATATTGTTTTAAAGATTTTATAACCATTGGTTCGAAAAGACGAATGAATGACGCTACAGAAGTTTTTTGATCAGATGATCGCGATAAATTTTTAAAAATAGAAAAGAATTTTCTATCACCTTTTCTATGTAACAAACCCACCCATCTGAAATAAAAAGCTGCGTATAGTTATCTATAAAAATGAATATAATATTTTACATTACAAGAATACAAATTTACCCAGTGTCTGGTTCGTTTTCACCCCTGCAATTGTTCCCCATGGATTTTATAGTATCTGCCATTTGTCTTGCAGGATTTTGAAAGCAATGATTATAAAATCCTTTAATATCATTCCGTAATGCGGTCATCCTGTCCGAGTTCTTCTGCACATCTAATTCATTCCACTGTGCATACACGTTTGTACTGAATAAACACTTCAACAACTGCTGAACACACTGAACAGTCGCAGTTGGGGATAATACGACAGTGCTCTGTAGATAATATAATATTTCTTCTGCAATTTGGGCTGCTTCATTGATGGATATAATTTCAAGAATTTGCGATAGAACATCTAAAATTGCATTTAACAGAGACAAATACATTTCGCTGGCATGCGGTTCAAGAGTGGCTGAGTAATTCAAATGAGCTGCTTTAAGAATTTCATACATTTTCATGTAATGCGGTATTGAAACAAATGCACCCATTTGCTCTTTCCCGAATTTCAAGCTTCCAAATCTTTCTCCTTTCTCTTTCAGCTTCGGTTCAGGTATTAACTTTTTCTTTGGAGATAACGATTGCGTTGATGATAAAGACGGTAACGTCGTTTTTGTACTACCTTGCAATTGTACATCATCAATTATGTGAACAAATATATTTAATACTCTTGTAATGTGCATTAACAACAATTCTATTTGTTTATCTTTAAACGTTCCCCACCAACTTTTGGTCGGATCGTTGGGTTTAAAATTGCAAAAAGCTAGACCTGATGCAAGATTGCCAGCAAGAAGTACCAAATGCTTATGCGTTAATAAATCTAAGCTTATAGGAGATGATGAAAGTAACGATAGAGCTAAAGATAAAAGGCCGTTGCTCACGGACGATGGCATCATATCACTTGTAAAATTTGATTCGCTAATATCTAATCGACTACCGTTCTTTTTGTGAGACTTCTTTAACAATGTTTTTGGTGAAATACAATCCCATCCTCTAGTATATATTGTAGTGTTATACACATCACTTAAACGAAACAAAGCTTCACAACACCCATACACTAAATACTTCGATGATTGTACTCCAAGAATTTCTGCCAGTATGTTGATTACAATCGACAACGAGTATTCTACATTTGAACGATAATTCGTTGAGTTATGAAAATTTAAAGCTGAAAATGGTTGTATAGACGTATTTATAAAGAACTTTTGTTTCTCTTGACAAGAAGACAATTCTACCGAACTCCGAGTTACGGCACTCAAATATTGTTCCGTATATTGTACAGCTTTTCGCGTAATAACATCATCGTGCGGCTGTTGGAAATGCAATAAGGGAATACTCCTAAAAAAAAGGGGGGGGAATTAAATTAGTCGAGAAGACTTGAAAATTAATAATCGAAAAATGTAAACTCAGATAACTACTTTACAATAGCATCTGATGCTGCGTGTCTAATTCTTTGATCTTGGTCACCTAACAGCGTTACAATAACATCGATAAAATGTTCTTGAAACATTGATCCACCAGTTATATGTTCTATAGTAACATATGATATCTCACTCAATAATTCCACTAATTTAACTTTTACCAGAAAATATGGGTTCTTTACTAGTTGAGGTAATGCAGTTAACACAGTGATTCCATGTTTATTGTCAACAGATTCCAACAATTCTGGTAGACATAAACTGAATGCTGTTAACGTTTGCCGGCACGTGGTAGCAGAATCATCTTCTAATCCCTAAAGATATGCAGATTAAAATTTTTGAATAATCATACATCTACTTCAATATATGAAAATACTTACTTTTAAAAGTAATTTAATTAAATTATTTAACGATATAATTCCTTGTAATTTCTTATCACTGATTTCTGTCTCAAACTTTTTAAAAGATCCTCCATATTGAGTATATACAGATTTCAGAAATGTACCAATAATAATTGATATATTACCTCTAATTTGAGGATCTGGATGACTTGCAAATAATAAGACATCCGTTATCATTTGTATATTCTCGTCAGAATTTGGTTCTTTAGCAACAGAAATTAAAAACAAATTCGGGCAAAGCTTTAAAATATAAGCCACGCAAGTTAAAGCGAGAGATTTTACACTAACACGAAAATATTTGTCTGGTATTACATGACCGACATTGCCAGTTAAGAGGAAAGATGATACCAAATAACGACAACAGTATTTTAACGGCATATCAGTATCTATAAAAGTTCCAATGTCTATTTCTCGTAATGAGAAATCTAAAGAAAGTTTTTTAGGAGAAGCGACCTCTTCAATATAATCCACGTCTCTTGCCTCGCTTTGTAAACTCGAATAAATTTTCTCCGATTTTTCTATTTCACTTCCAACATCACTACCCTCTTCGATCGTTGCATCTGGAATAAATGAAATACAATTATTTTTTCAATGACACACATGTTCTCTAGATTATACATTTCTTCTTACTATCAATAACTCCAATCTTCAAATCACTATAATTTTCTAAAACCTTTCCTTTCGTTTCTATTACATTATTTGCGCATTCCTTTGGAATTTGTAAATTTTGCAAAGGAGGTACAGTTTCAGAATCTAACATCCATTTTTCTATCTTTGGATTTATTTCAGGTATATCGGAATCAAGTAAATTTAATGTGTAATCAGAACATTCTCCACAAGCAGTTGCAACACTAGAAGTGCTTGCTTGACTTAACGATAATGTCATTTCATTTTGATTCACTGCTATTCTGCTATGTGTTAAGCCTTTGTTTGATAATAATAATGATACTAAAACTTTTGGAGGTGATTTTAAAAACTGAGTTAACGTCTCCAAAACAGCATTTATAACATTATGATCAGAGTGCCACTTTGTATAATGTAAACATAATTCATAAATTTGTAACAAGCTATCTATGTCTATAATTTCATCATCTGGATCTTCTGAAGAGATGCATATGTGTGGCAAAATTATTCTTATACAACCAAATATACCAATAATAGTTGCTATACGACTTTCATCTTCGTTTATAGGCACTACGACACCTATGAAAAAATACTATTTAATTAAATAAAGTACATTTAATTAGCAAAAAGTACATTAGCTGTGCTTCTATAACACTATTACCTAAAAGATGTTTCAATACATAATTCAAGAAAAACTGTGGTTTACGGCAATTCAAACATGTTGCTAAAATCATATTTGCTGCAGCTCTGCGAAATGCTGCCTGTACAGAGGATATATTTTCAAAGAATGCTTTTAGTAATATCTGAAAAACAAGCATGAACATGAATTCATAGTTACATTATAAACTTTGAATTATATAACGGACATATGAAATTACCTTGACATCATTGTCTGTCATAAATGGCCCTAATGCTTTCATAATTAATGGTAACGATTGTGACAGTGTTTCAATTACAGATTCCTCAGAACGATGTGAGATAACTATTATACAGGGTATTAAATTAGATACGTATGCTTTTCCTCTTGTAGGGCGTATCATGTGGCTAAGAAGACCAAATCTCCAAAGAGCAGCTCTTAATGTTCTAGCAGGCCCATTTCTTTTTATTTCATTGTAAAGTTCTATTTGAACTTTAACGATATTACTATCAGCCATCGCCTTTCAAATAAAATACCTATTAAAACATCTATAGATCTGCTATCAAATCTAACGAAGGACAAATGAAACATAAATTACCCTTATAATTTTATTTAATGTTTCATCTGCTACCATTCTGACATCAGAGTCATCGTCATTGCACAGTGTCAATAAAGTTTCAATTGAAAGACTAAGTACCTGAGGAAACTTGGTTGCTAGTTTGACAGTTGGTGAACATATTCCTTCTGTTATTGTCATGCAACATGTTAATTTATCTTTCCTTTTATTGAAATAAAGGATACATTAAGTTTGTTAACATACTAAATTTCATAATTTCTAGTTTTTTTATTATTATCTATATAAGTTCTAACTTTACGAATTGTACATATTTAACTATGAATTATATAAATATATTACAATTACACATTCGATCAATAAATTTTGCATTACTTTATTCATACAAATATTTCAAATATTATTAAGCGATTAAAAACAATTTGTTCTTGTACCTTGTATTCGAATCTGACAGAAAAATGTTCGATTCTTGAGCTGATTTCAACGCTTCTATAGCTTTCAATACGTTATTCAATGATGTCATTTTGCCAAATATTTTTTAACAAATCGTCCCTCACTTTCTATAAATCAATCAGTTTTAACAAATTACATTTTGATAATGTAGGCCGAATTTATGACAGACACGTCGTACATATGAAGCTACATGCTGCTCGGTAACATATTTATTTGTGATTCGAACATCATACTAAAAGCAATTACTCACAGATTTTGCTTGTGCAAAAGAACGAGGCATAAGAAAATTAGACGTTTAATGCGTATTTGCCTTAAGGCCGCTGTTTAGATACTAACCCTATCGCTCTGTAGTAAAAGATAAACCGAATATATTGTACGTATAATCTTTATTTTATGCTCGAAAGCTTGGTAACAATTTATTTGAACTTATTATTTGGTATTAATGCAAAGCAGACATTCTTAAGAGTACATTTTACATGAATTCTCTGTTCGAATGATCTGATATAAAACAATATTGAAATAGTGAATGCAATGTACCACGTGTGATGAATACAAAAATAAGTGTTCACAGATAATTCAAGTGACCAATTTTTAAAAGTGCAGTATAGTTGATAACCCGTATAACGTACATGTTATTCTAAAACTTTGATTTTTCTTCGATAAAAATGACACACAAGTATGAGTTGGAAGTAGAATATAAAAGGCAAGTATAATAAGATTAAACAATGTGCAGAGCCGATGTCGACAAAAATACATTTAATTTCATTCGATAATGTAAGATAACGATTAACCTATCTGTTATTCGATTCTCGAGGTAGCCATATTACGTCCGGAACATTTGGATTGCATAGGGTGTTCGAAATTTATCTAAAAACGAGTTTGCTGTTGTCAGTGCCACGGAAACGGTTCGGGCTGCCTAACTTCGTTTCTCTCTCATTTTCTCGAAACAAATTATACAAATTTATATCATTTTCAATCACGTGTAATTATTAAACAACATATCAGTAAATTTATAAGTTGTAACTTATAACAATGGGCTTTGTATAGGATTAGTGAACGAATTTTGGCTTTCGTACCATATATTGCAAAAAGTGCAGTGCAAGAAATATTTTCTTCCATTTAAGAGTTTGAATAGCCTAACAATTTATATAAGAAGTTTTGAGACTTATCCGCGTTGAAATCGTAACTAATTTTTCACAATGTTTTGTATATAACCGATTGAACTTTTTCAATCAATGGCTATAAGTGAAGGACAAAGGTTTGATTTACATAAAAAAGTACTTTTAAATATTTTTTTGTTAAATTTATTTTGTTAAAAAAATCTTCAGAATTTGCTTAAATTACTTGGATTGTTTGCTTAAATCGCTATGTGTAATTAAGTTTATTAAATTTTTGAGTTACTATGTTGTACATTACAAATGAAAGTTTGTATTGTATTGTACATTACATTAACTTTAATTAATGTGTTATGTATGGAAATACATTTTTAATTAGGTTAGATTAATAGAACCGTGTTGTTTGTCTTAACGTTACAAGTTTATCATTTACAATTTACAGAGCCCTTAATAATTTCTGGATGTCTAAATATGCCAGGCTGTGCAGCAGTTGGCTGCAACAATCGTAGTGAGAAAGGTTATATTATGAAATGTTTTCCACGTGATCCAAAGTTGAGGAAAATTTGGCAAAAACGTGTTGCTAGGGCTGATTGGAAACCATCAAATAACTCATTTCTTTGTCATGTGCACTTTGAATCTCAAGAGTGGTCTATAACACAAAGTGGTAGAATTAAATTGAGAAAGAATGCAATCCCTTCTATATTTACTGTGACATCTAATAGAAAATCCCCTAAAAAAAAGACTAAGGTATTTGATAACAAAGGTGAAAGCATATTGCAAGGTGAATATAATATAGAATACATGGAAAATGATACAGAGCATTCATCTATTGAACATTTAGAAAAGAAAGATTTGGATTTTCAGGAGATTGAAGACTGTATGCAGCAATCTATTGAAAATAGTTTTAAACACACTTACAAATCTAAAGAGGTTAAAAAAGAAGAGAGCATTGAGGTTAATCATCAGAGACAAAATATTGTAATGATTGCTGAAGATAATCTTACCGATATTAATAGTTTAGTGGAACAATACAATCTTGAAATTCAACCAAATGATAATAAAAAGGAAGTTGAAATCATGGATAAATCAGAAACTACTCAAGTACCAAATATCGCAATAAAGAAAGAAATTAAGCTGGAAGTTATGGATCATAATGCGTTTGAAGATAGTTATGATGAAATTGAAGAGAAATTAAAACAAATTTGTGATGGTGGATCCATTGAAGATGACAATTATAAAAATGAGATTCAAAAAAAAGATGAAGTTGAAAAAAAAACAGATGCGAAAGTTGAATCTACTAATAATGACCAGAAAGTTATTTCGTCCACTGATGCGAGTCATTTATCAATAAAAAATGAAGTTGGACATATACTTACACGCAAAGAGGAAAATGTTGAAATAATTTTTGGTACTGAAAGTGGAGATGAAAAAACATCTGCATCTCAAAATATATCAAAAGTAAATAAAGTGGATAACAATACATTGAAAGAAGATGAAATGATTTATGTTAAAGATGAAAAAAAAATTTTTAATGAAGACATAGAAGAAAATTTTTCTAAAGATGAAGTTCATGTTATACCAAATATAAGAGCAGCTATGAAACGTAAAAGAAGAACTAGGGAAGAAATAATGAAATCAATAAAGAAATCAATTAGAAGCAATTCAGATCAGGATATTAATTCTTCAAGTAATACTGACTTATCTGAAGTAGAAATCAGAAATGAATTATCTTTATTTTCTCAGGAAATAAATGATATTCATAAGAATGATACAAAAGAAGAAACTGCAAAATTTGTTATTAAAGTAACTGGTGACCCTGATGATGTAACTGAAATTATTGAAGAATTATCATCTAATACAATAGGAACACAAATATCTAAAGAATTCAATACTGTTTCTAAAATTGAAGAAAATGATTCACTTGTTACATCTATTATAACAGTACTGTCACCAAAAAATTTTAAAGGTGTTATTTATGGAGATTTCAACAATTCATTAATAAAGGATGACTATGTAACTTCAAGTAAAGAAACGTTAATAATGAATCAATCTCTTTATGAAGATAGAGAGTTTACAAGTTTAAATTCAACTCATAGTTCTAAAACATACCATTCGAACATACATACATGCTCTGATGAAGAAGAGAGACTTAAGATAAGGACCAATTTACCATTACAAAATTGTACACAAGGTGTTCAAATCTCCTTGGAAAACAACTCTGGTTGTGTTTCCTCAGACTATGAAGATCTATTAGAGAGAATACAAATTCAAGAAGATGTAATTGCAAAGTTAACTGATCAAATAATTATTTATAAAGAGTTGGAAAACAGCATGAGAAGTAAAGCTACTGGACAACATGAAATACAAACCAGAGATGTGGAAACTTCTAGAATTAATACAAGATCAAGTAATACTCAATCTTTTATACTTAATAAAAAAAATTTAGAATCGAAGCAAAGATTAATAGAAGATTTATCAAACAGAGTGAATTATTTTGAAGAAATGAATAAGAAATTAATGAAAACTGTAACATTAGAATCTCAGCAAAAAAGAAAGCTTGAAGGACAAATTAAACAAAAGGATAATCGAATAAAAGAACTTAACTGGAAATTGGAAAAAGCGTCCAAATATCTCGAAAGAGCAGAAAAGAACACAAACACCTATAGAAGAAAAATGTTGAATATGCAAACTATCATGAGAAGAAGAAAACTTTTAGATGAAAAAATGAGCAAATTTAATGAAATGTTAATAGATAGTTCTAAGCAAGAATTTTCAGAAAAAGCTTTATCCATGGCAATAGAAATCAGAAAAGTTTGTGGAAGAATAGGATATGATAAGTTGGTTTCTTATGGATTTCCATTACCACCATTACAAGCTTTAAAGAAAGGAATTCTCACTGAAGAGACTTTTGCAGATTCCAACAGAAGTGATATGTATGAGGTACGAAATTCTACACAGATAAATGTTAAAACAGAAAAAGCTCATGATACAAATAATGAATCTGAAATAGATGAAAAGGACACAGAACTTGTAGATTCAGTTGGTAAGGCAACTGAATATGAAAGTACAGAAACTGTGACAGGAACTGTACAAGACATTTTTGATGAAAACAATGATGGTGATGATTTTAGTACAAATGAACTGAGAGAACATTTTATTCTACAATTAAATGCAGTTATGTAGCCATAATTTTGTATTTTAATTATATTCTTCTCTTTACATCTTTAGAACTGTAATATTAAGAACTTAGATAAAATTTCTTAGATAAAATTCTGTAATTGTACATTATATTCTTAATAATTATATTTATTGTACAGTATAATCTGATTCTTACTGTAAATGTAAATATATGTACAATATATATGTATAATATAAAAGACCATTTTCACTAATCAACTGCAGTATTAAATTATTGCTCATGAATAATTTTCTGCATAATGGTCTATCTTAAAGGATTATACAATATTTTTTGCTTCTTATTGATAAATTTTATATTTTAGTAGTAAAATAGAAAAAACAGATTTATTATGATGTTTTCTGAAATTCATCATTGTCAACAACACTCCAATGTTTATCAATAAAACATTAAGAATATATGAATTTACTTACATTATTTAAACAAAAAAGAAAAAGTAGAATACGATAAATTAATTATCTCGTATAAAAGAAATGTAAAAATATAATACTTTTATATAACATTGTTAATATCTAAGCAATATATTAAAAATATAAATATAAGTTGTGAGAAATTATATAGGATAATTCTTTTATTTGTTAATCTAAAGGCAATGCCATATCAATCACTTGTGATCTAGCATCAGTAATTTGTAAAATAAGATCAGGAGTTAGTGATCGATGATATTGCTTTTGAATTAACTAAATAGTCATTTGTAAATAATCATTTGGTTCATTTCAATAATATAAAGTATAATGATAATAATAAATACACTTGACTACACGTATATTTGTGTGTGAGTGTGTATTTTTTTCTCTTTTAACATAATTTTCGTCAAAATAATTACAATCCAGTAGCAGACTTGTTATTATTAACTTTCTTTTTCTCCTTTGATTTTCCATCCTTGGATCCAACTATTTTATCACATTCACACCAAGGTGTAATCATTTTATCACACATTAAAGAAATATTAAGAACTGTTAATGGAGTATCCCCAATAGTCATTGTAATTGTACCTAATATTTTATAAGAAACATTATTTAAGCCAGTTTGACGGTCTCGTTTTCTAGTAACTTCCCGTTGATTATAACATTTTATCATATCTCGTTTCCTATGATTTCTGTCATGTATATGTCTATAATAAATAAAAATAACATAATCAATGAACATTTATTAATATCTAATATAAATATAAATCTTTTGCAGAGCATCTTACTTGAATGTATTATGCGTTCCAGTAGATACATTTTGTGGTCTCATAACACTTAATCCAGCTTCTTTTAATCGAACATAGAATTCATCATCTTCAAGACCCCATCCCCAATATTTATTAGACATTCCATTTACTTGCATAAAATGTTCTCTGCAGAAATATTTTTATTATCAATTTACTTAAATTTTTTATGAATACAATAATAACTATTATAATAAAAAACCTCTTAATAAGTAATATTCCACCAACAAAAGTTGGATAATGATATCTCGGATGTAATTCTGGAGAAGATATATGGTATGGACCCTTATTAGGGAAAGAATACAATAATTCATCATTTATAGGCAACAAATCTACATCATGTATAGCTATATAATCAAACTTTTTGTCAATTTCAAGAAAGCCTACATTTATAAGAGAGGCTCGATTAAATCTAAATCTATCAACCTACAAAAATATAAATATTATTATTATATTTGAATAACGTTTTAATTTATTGATGATTAAATTGATAAAAAGATACCTGATTAAGTACAAATATATGATAATCTATATTTTGTTTATCCAAAAATTTTTTCATATGAGGAGCAAATATCAATAGTTCTTCAAAACGATCTCGAAATGGCACAAGTATGGCTAAATGATGTAATGATTTCTTATAAACTTTATTATCATTATTCTGCTGGTTATTGTTGTTGTATTGACTTGATTGTGTAGCAATTTCACATTTACATTCATCTAAAATTGTAAAATCAAAAGGTATTATTTAACAATCACATTGCTAAAGCATTAAAAATACAAAAGACTTACCAATACTTATAGGAGCAATACTTATCAGGCATGAAATAATAAATGTGATTAAAATGCAAGCAAATATATATTTAAATTTGATATTTTTCCAAACAACTTCCATGCCGTATAACAAGTACTTAAGTAAAGTATCTTAAGTTTACAAGTACATAAATTAATCATCGAATAGTCTTACAAAGATTTATTGGTACAATAACATTTTCTTATTTCAAGAAAATTTACAAAGCGCTGATAACCCTTGTCCTTTTTTTTATTTACAGTAGTAGATCATGATTGAAATTGGTACGAATCGTATAGCAGCTCGCATAGTTGAAAATTACCGCTGCATTGATTTGTTAAATATGAGGTATCCTCGATATCACACGAAAATTAGGCAATCACGAGTTGCAATATTTTATTGTTCTCACATACTTTTTTTATAGATCATTTGAGCGAACGCATTAATCAATCTTCATTCAAAACCATTTATTTTTGTTTGCCAAAGATTCATCAGTCACTGGACCGAGAAGCGTACGTTTCTTACCCCAAATGTATATATTTTCTAATTGATCATATTCACAATTACGGTATATGCAAAAATTTAATTCAAACATCATTAATATTCAACGTTGCTCAGTTGAGCATACAGAAAGTATTTATTCTATAACACTAACAATTAATGATATTTCCTCAAAGAACAAACTGTACCATACTAACTTCTGCATTGTTTGCCTTACACTATGTAATACTATGATAGTCCAGTAATGTTACAATTTCAGGTAATTGAAATAAGAGAAGATAATACAAATCACTTTTTTGAAAGATAAAATATTATCTATGTGTTCTTAACTGACTATTTCATCGTCAAAATTACCTACTACAATTTTGCGAAAACAAATGTAGATTTTATAAATATATTTTCTAAACACGCAGTGATATCAATTTCTGTATTTAATTTGTTAGTTATATTAATTACAACAGTTATATGGTTATTAGCTATTAGGTCTTTTAAATATAAAATAAATACTTAAAAAATGAATGAAAATGTTGTATAATTATCATTAATTTATAATTTAACAATTGCATAGAGAATGAATGACATTGCTATAGTTTGCTATAGTGATGTGAATGAATAATACATGTAGTATAGTAAGTTTTAGAGTATCAAAGTAATGGGTGTTGTCTTTCGTAGCAATTAACGCTTAGACGAAAAAAGCATTAAAATGCTACCAAAAAATTGCATAAATTTGATTTTAATATTCTGCAGTTTCTCCTGTCACTTTGTATATGGTATAATAAATACTTTTATGTTTGAATAATTTAGTATCATCTTATTTATTTCGTTTAACATTTGTTGCTGTTATTTGTAACTATTAATTGTAACTATTAATTGTTATTTATTAAGTATTTACAATTATTATTAATATCAATAAGATGTTTGACTTTGTTTTTTCAGGACAAAATCTCACCAATATTGTTACATGGTGTACAATATCTGATGCTGAACAACATAAGTGTAATGCATTTTCAAGAGCAGTCGATCGCGAAATAGCGTTTTTTGAATATACTTACGTCTCCTTGCAATGTATACAAGCATCTAATAAAGAAGAATGTATGGCTTTGCTGGATCAGGAGAAAGCTCAGATAACCACTTTAGATGCTGGTGAAATTTTTGTAGCAGGACGTTATCACAGTTTAATCCCATTTATGCAGGAAATATACGAGAGTGGTGTGAATTATCAGTATGCAGTAGCAGTGATTAAAAAAGGATCCTTGCCAGATGTTCAAAGTTTACGTGATTTAAGGGGTAAAAAGGCTTGTTTCGCTGGCCTTGGAATGCTTGCTGGTTGGGTTATACCAATCTATACAGTAAATATGATTTGTTTGCTATTTTTTATAATGTGTAGCTTGTTAATTAAACATATGTTTCTTCCTATTTTATAGTTTATGAAAGAAGGTGGATTAGAAGTTGTTGATTGCAACAATCATGTTAAATCTGCTATCAATTACTTTGGACCTAGTTGTGCTGTAAATTCATTGATAGATAAATATAATCCATTAGGTATGATTAATAGTAATTCCACATATATTTTCGATTCTTAAACAATTTTAAATTTTAGGTGATAATTCTGATCAGTTATGCAAATTGTGTATTGGAAAGATATCCGGAGAAAGATGTACAACTGCAGATCCTTATGCAGGGTATGAAGGAGCATTTCGGTGTTTGGTAGAAACAGGAGAAATTGCTTTCTTAGTACACACAACAGTGGATGAAATGACATCAACAACATTTGATTTCAGTATGTATTTAATTGTGGTAATTTACTATTATAATTATAATTTACTATATAACTATACTATATAACGTATTACAATATTAATAAATAATGTTAATTTTTTTAAGGTTCTGTGAAGAAAGAGCAATTTGAGTTGCTTTGTCGTGATGGTACTCGTAAATCGATTGATGAATATAAATTTTGTAATTGGGGCACTGTTCCATCACGCGCTGTAGTCACCTCGTCCGCTACAAAAATCGAGACTCGTCGATTATATCAGCGGTTTTTGGAAAAAGCAGTTCGAATATTAGGCAAACATAATGCGAGAAATTCAACCGAATTTTATGACAATCGTTTCGAAAACCGACCAGGTTTTAATAATAATAATAGGTTTAACAGAACGGAATATGTTAATCCAAACGAATATAGCACAGATAACTTTGAACATCGTAACGGGAATGAAAGAAGCCATGATGGAAATGAATTATGGGATAACACAGAATCAACTAATATACAACCAATAGAAACTTTCAATTTATTTGAGTCTGCACCTAAATATGGAATGCATCATAATTTAATTTTTTCTGTAAATAATATATATTTCTTTTCAATGATATTATTCTCCCTTTTATTTAATAATCTCATTTCAGATTATATAATTTCAGGATGCAGCACGAGATTTCGCTCAATTACCTGAAAAAGATCAAATATATACTGGTTATTTAGGCAGATCTCTCGACCTAATACTGGAAATGCGTCGATGCCCAGTTAGTAAAATGACCTTATGCATTACATCTGATATAGAAATGGAAAAATGTGTAAAAATGAAGGTAAAAATTTGAAAAAATAAATATAATTTTATATGAAGTGTAAATTATTAAATTTTATATTAAGTGTAAATGTTTGTTCTCATATTAGATAGCGTTAAAGGCGCAATTATTGAAACCAGAATTAAATTGCCATAAAGGCCACAGTCAGATTCATTGCATGCAGGCTATACAAAGTGGGTATGTATCAAAAAAAAATTTGCAAATGAATTCAGTAAAAAATAGAAGAATTTATCTTAAGATAAAATCAATTCTGTTTTCTAGAATCGCCGATGTAGCAGTATTAGATACCAGTGACGTATATACTGCTGGTTTACGCTTCGATTTGATTCCATTTATATCTGAAGTTTACAATTTACCTACACCAGAATATTACGTGGTTGCAGTTGCGAAAGAAGAAGATGATAATACAGATTTGACTTACCTTAAAAATAAGTACACTTGTCATACAGGAATCAATACAGCCGCAGGTTGGGTGTATCCGCTGGCATATCTTATTTCGAATACATGGATTAGGGGTTATGGCTGTGATTCAGTTCACGCTGCTGCAGAATATTTCAGTAAATCTTGCGTTCCGGGCGCGCTTAGTACCGAATACAATACAGGTAGTTATAATTTTTACACTAACATTTACAGATTACAATTACAGATTCTACATCTGAATTTATTGCAGGAGTACCATATGACAATATGTGCGACCTATGCCACGGTACCAGCTTCCGTTATTGTCGCAGAGATGCGTCTGAAGATTATTATGGATATACCGGTGCCTTTAGATGTTTAGTCGAAGGGGGCGGAGACGTAGCTTTTGTGAAGCACACAACGGTCGCAGAAAATACCGATGGAAAACGGCGAGAAACATGGGCACGTAATACTTTTACAAAAGATTTTGAATTACTTTGTCCAGATGGTACTCGTCGTCCAACAACCGATTACATACATTGCAATTTAGGAAAAGTGGCATCAAATGCAATAGTTACACGCGGTGGATATTACGGATATAACGAGACGCAAATAAACGCTTATATAAATTTATTTATTTACGCCCAACAATTTTATGGAAGGAAGGAACAGGACGAATTTAGTTTTAGCATGTTTTATAGTCAACCGCCTTATAGCGATTTGATTTTCCAAGATGCTACGCAGCAGCTGGTAGTAATACCACCAGAAAAAAGAGAGTTTAGTGCGTATTTAGGACCAGACTTCATGAGAGCTAGAAGAATTGTAGATTGCAATGCTGGCGCATCAGCTATAGAGCATTCAATAATAGCTACGATAGCTATGATTATATTTGCTTACATATTTAGTAGATAAAAAATATTCTAAATTTTGAACAGATGAATATATGTACATTCGATAAAGAGTTTACAAAATATATTTAGGTATATTCGCTAGTTTTTAAATCGTCGAAATGTACGAGATGTGTTCAGAAATTACTTATATTTTTTGTATTTTATATACTGATATATTGTTAAATGAATGAATGTGGTAATGCATAGTTCTCGACTAAAGACTATAATATAATCCGTCCTTTTTCTCAATACATTATATAATTATAAAATAACATATTTAATTGCGTATAATAATTGTACATGTACTTTATGCCGTCCATTAATATTTTTATACGTATTGAATAAAGCTGGTTCATAATATCACATAGCTAGATTCATTATTTTTTTTATTTTATTTAAATATAGATTTTGTATTTTTTATTGATATGCTGCTTTGAAATCTTTTCATCTCTGATCAATGTTTCTTACAGGCCTTTAGCATTTGTTAATTCTTTCAGTTTCTTTTTGACTATCATAAATAAACGAAAAATTAATCTTATATTAGTCAGTTTGGCAATGAAAGAATTAAGAAATAAAATTATTATTAGAAATACAGATAAAAACCTAAAGCAAATAATCGGACACCTAGCTTCTTAGGTAACATTACCGGTGCACAATCCTTTAATGTGTTCATTGACAATTCGCGTGATTCTTTAAATCTCTTTATCTTGAAAGTTTTACTCTTTCGACTCGACGAAATAGATGTTTTAGGAATTTTATATCTTCGAGTAGGTTTGCTCACCTTAAGACACCGTACAATTCAATTAACACTCTACTAGATGAATTTCAAAATTAAAAGGACATATTTACATTAGAAAAATGATTTCTATATCCCGATTTATGATTCACAGATTTAGGTTGCGCTAAGATGTCGATACGTCTTAGGTTTTTTGCGCTTTTTCGTTTTTTCTTGCGATGCCCCTAAAAATAAATGTAATTACTTATTATATGTTGTTTATTTACGAACTATCACTAAATTAAGAACGACTTCTTATTTTACTTTCTTCAATGTTTTATTTTCTATCAACGAACTGTCGATATTTCCCGCAACAACTGTGCTTTTTACTCTTCTAGGAGCGCACCAATAACTGTTTCGTTTGTTACGATGAGTTTTGATAACTGATTTTAACGCTATCGCTTCGTGTCTATTATGCAGAGAATTGCATTAGCGAGTATTAGAAAACTAGAAAAATAGGAGGACATTATATTTACTGCGATTTGTTCATCTTAGGACGAAAATTTAGAGGATTGGCTTCACTGGTCGACAAATTTGAAATTTTGTTCACGGTTACTGTTTGTTGGATATATTACCCGAGAAAGAATTGAAGTTTGCAAGTATCCCTTATTTTACGATCGCTTCACTGTCATATATCAACATTTTAACCCTAAGGTGAAACTTTCAAAATTCTCTGTTGCTTGTTACATCTCTCCAAGTCTCGAACTAGGTAACAATTTTACAATCAAATGAACGATATGAACACGGATGTTCATCAAGATAATGTACAAAGACTAGAAAAACTAGCGAAACCCAAGAAAAGGACTGATAAAACCAATAACTATAACACCTTCAATGTAAGTGTTACGAATGCATTATATATAAATATGTACGAAGAATATAAATTTTCTAGTTTACTTAAATATTTTAGGTAAAACGTGGAGCATTATCGTACCAAATTACGGATTCGCTGAACAAATTAGCTCAACCTAGGCGAAAACCAGGCACAAACGTGTCAAATATATCCAACTTTAGCACGAGAAATTCTCCTACAAGTACAGGTAGTTTGAAAGGAGCATTTCAAATGCCACTCATTATCGAACACTTTTTTATTTCATTAGTTTGGAGAACTCGTTAAGTTAGAATTTTTCTTTTAGCTAAGAAGTTAGTTGTTTTGGGTATATTAACAGTATTTTAATCTTCACGTAAAACGTGGATGTAAAAGCGTGAATGTTAAAATTCGATACAATTACGCGATTGTTCTTAGTGAAACAAGGGCATCACAAGTTGATAAATAGCAGCGAACAGTCGAAGGACGCGCAAGAGTCGAAGAAGAAGAAGTTCTTGCTAGACACTTATGCTCGCATCACCGCAGCAAGGAATAAAGGATGCTCGAAACGACTGCATGAGCTTGCGAAACCGAAGAGACATGTGATGCGTACCGAGCCGTACGACGATTTCGAAAATTACTTTCAAACGATAAAGAAATACAATGTGAAAACTCCGCATCAGAAAAGAAAATAATGCCATAAACTTCGTTACAATGGTTTAATACAAAATAAATAACATTCACACAGAATAATAAGTTTTGATACTTACTTGAAGGACTTCCAAACTAAAATTTTATTCATTAACTCTCTGTTTGATTAAACGAATTTCGTATCGGTAAAAAACAAACGAAGGGTTGCTTCCTTTTAAAATTTGACAAACTTCGCGTCACACGAAGACTAAGTAAAATCGCACAGAATGAAAAAACGATATTAAAAATGAAGAATTTTAACGTAAATAAGAAAGTAACGTGAAACGAAAAATGTTATCTCTAACGTTTTTGATATTCATTTTATCCATTAATAAATTGGGAAATATTTAACCTGTATGATGAATTAAATTGGTAAGAATGATAAAGAAGTTTATTTTATTACTTAAAGAACTATTGTATTTTATAATTTAAATTAAAATTTAATTAAAAATTGAAGAAGATAATTTTATTTTTTACAAGAAGTTTATTTTGTATTTGTATTATTCGTTTCATCTTCTATTCAAATTTAATTGCTCAAATAGATTAGACAATAAGACGTTTCGAAAATGGCACCGAAGGTAAAAATACTTGCAAAAGACGTGATTGGAAGAAAAGGTCAAAGTATAAAGGAAACGAAGGAAACGCCTACGAAACCTTCTAGAGCGCCAGCTGGCAGATTAAGAAAAGTAGATAAACCGAAACTAAAGGCAAAGTAAGCGTAATTGTTTCCGTCGAGTAAATGAAAATTCCAATCTCTCCGACGTTGGTAACTTTTAGAAGAGTTAGGCGTAAATTGAAAGGATGGCTAGCGACGCCGGCTGATTGGGCGCGTTTTAATGCCTGGGCGGAAATCAACGCGCTACCGAAGAAGTATCCGGAACCTGAGCCTATAGTTAGTAATAAATAAATTTATGCATTTGCGAGACTTTACGCTTAAGTTTTATGCAAAGATATTTCAGATGCGCATAATAAAAAAAGAGCCACGTTCAAATTGGAAAGTGAAGAAAAGTGATAATATAATAAGTGCTATTTTTTAAAATTTGTTTACAAATTTATTATTTATGTCGTTTTTCATGATAAACGAATTCATGGACATAAGTTTTTGTTTTTTTTTTTTTTTTTTT